AACTCATATAATAAGACCTTTTGTCGTACTCGTCCCTTCGTCGTTCATTTTAAAAATTGTCCGCGTGCGACAAAATGACGTCTTATGACATTAGTTCTTTAATGTACTATTTTCAAGTAAATTATTTAAAAAAAAACAACTGAATAAGTTAGGTATTTTTAGTTATAATTAGACAATCTACATTCTACATTCTATGATTTTCTTCTCTTTGTTTTCTGTTCTTTTCTTTGGACTTTGTTGCATGTTTTCTGTTGCTTTACTTTTTGTTTCCATACCTTTTTTTAAATAATTTTTTATTCTAGTGGATTTTATTCGTTTTCATAAAACATTTTTATATTTTAAAAACACTGCATATGGAATTGTTACTGCCACTGTTAAATGCGAAACTATAGAAATCAACTCGCAATCTTGTAGCGCTTAAATCTCATTTTTTTAGGTTTTTTAATTTACGTTCTTGTGTTATGTATACAGGGTGTCCGGGAAAATGTGGGAAATATCTCGGATTCAGATAGAACATGAAAAAATAAGATGACACATTCCTATACAAAAAATTCCTACTGGCCCTCCTTAAGGAGACATGGGCCCCGAAAGGACGCCCCTGGAAATTGGTTTTCCTTGAATAACTTTTAAAGTACTGAATATAATTTAATAAAAATTTAATGATGGACCCTGGTAGGGACCTCTTAAAATAGTATTCTTGAAACATGTTTTGCTTTTTTTTGTTTACCACACTGAAAAAAATAAGCTGTTGAAACAACAAAAAAAATATTAATTCAACTCTTTATGCACTTTAAATACAAGCAATGGTTTTTGCACGTTTACTTAACCATCTAAAAATGTCAAATTGTATTGTTTAATTGAACAACAAATAACAGTCAAATGAACAAAATAAGAATATTTGTTCTAATCTGCTAATTTGGTTAATTTAACATTCTTAGGGTGTTAAGGTAAATTTCTTGAAATGTCCAGGTAACCTTTTTAGCATATTCACTTAACACCAATAAAATGTTAAATTAACATTCTGAAAATGTAAAATTCTTTAAAGGTTGGTATCCAAAACAAAATTATGGAAATAATATATTATTATATATAAATAGAAAGAATTGAACCTTCACCTCGCCCAGAGTTTTTGTTTTGAGCGTGTTCCACCCATGATACATCTTTGTAATACAAAGTTTGTATCATGTGTTCCACCTACTTCAAATACCGACAGACTGTTTCGCCCTGTATTGAGGGTCTTAACAGTGTCTGGCAATATGGTGTAGTAAAAGTTCTACTGTGGAACACACCTTAAACAAACAGATATCTCATCTTATATACACCTAATCGTAAGCTAACTAAGGCGAGATGTAAGAAAACGTCATTGTCTAATGACGTGGCGTGAGTGTTCGAAGCGCCATTCTCGGCAATTTTATGAATGCAAATTTTACATTTTAAATTTTAAAGTAACATTTTAAATTTGTTAAATGAACAAATTTAAAGTTTTGGATTAAAGAGCAACTAAACGTTAATTTAATACTTTTTTTAGGTAATCCTAAAAATTTCAGTAGTTGATTCAACAAATTCCAGCTATTAAATCAAAGTACGATAAACATGTTAATTCAAAATATTAGTTTATGTTAAATTAATATTTAAACTGTCAAATGAACAAATAAACTTTGACAAACTCTGACTTTTGCTTTAACACCAAAATATAGATTAATCCAATAGGTTTTTTGTTGAAACAACATTTTTAAAAATGACATTTAGGCAAATGTTAACTCAACTACATTATTTTTTTCGGTGCAGGGGCGGACTAAGTTTTACACCTTAATGCTTAAATTTTAAACACCCCCGTATGATAAGGACTTAAAAAAACTAAATCTGCATAGCTTGAACATTAAACTAAAATAAATGTACTCTTGTTTATTGTCAATAAAATGAACCGTTTTCGATAAAAAGAATAATAAACGAACTCATGTTTTATTTTTAATAAAAAGGACCATAAAAACAATAATATAACGAATTGTTGCAAAGCATACATTGAAGGACGATACATCGAAACAATTAATTAAAAACTTTATAAGAGGGTTCAACATGGGCTTCGTGAACTCTGATACATTCGCTGGCATGACGAATTGAGGACTGATGTACTCGCCACAATAACCCAGCATTGTTTCTTATCACATCACAATGAAACGTGATTCTCTGTAAAAGTTCCTCCCTAGTATCGATCGGAGTGGAATACACCAAGTTTTTCCACAGGAAAAAATCCATCGGCGTAAGGTCGGGAGATCGAGGAGGCCAGGCAATAGGACCTCCTCTACCTATCCAACGGTTTGGATAAACGGCATTCAAGTGCTCCCGCACAACAACGCTGAAATGAGGTGGTGCCCCATCGTGCAAAAAGTACATGTTTAGGCGGGTGGTAAGGGCTCTATTAAATCCCGAAAAGCGTTCTGGAGAAACTCCAAATATAGTTGTCCATTCAATCGTGCCGGCAATACGAATGGTCCAAACAAAATATTATATATTAATTGGTTGGAACTGATGTTGATTATGTGAAACAATACTGGCATGAGGATTTTTATCAGCCCATACATGTGTGTTGTGTAAATTCGTGATTCCATTTTTGGTAAATCCTGCTTCATCCGTGAAAAGAATAGTGCTAATGAAGTTTACATTATTTCGTTGCTGATCCAATAGCCAGTTTGCAAACTGCATTCTACGAGGAAAATCTTCAGGAATAAGTTCATGTACTTTTTGCATATGATATGGATATAACAGATGTTCTTGAAGAACCTCATGCACTATTGTTTTTGACGTATTAAACTGTGCTGATAATTTTCGAGTGCTCGTTGAAGGAGTGTCATCTACAGCATTTAAAATATTTTCCTCTAACTGCGGCGTACGCACTGTTCTTCCCACGCCAGCATCAATACTTTTTTTTTACAAACGTACCTAAAATTATGAAGAAAGTCAATAATATTACTTTAATAACTGAAATTGTCCACCATTCTCTCTAAGACGTTGGTCAACTCGTTGAAATGTCTTCTGATTTGGAATAATAAGATCAGGAAATCTTTCGTGAAGACCATACATCAGATGCATATTTGCATACTTATTAAACGTGTATTCCATATTTCAAATTAATACGCTATTAAATTTACCACGAAATCCAAAAATCAGTAAATTAATATCAAAATAAAGGATCAATGTGTCAGCGATATTAAAGATGACGTTTGCAACAATACGTTTTTATGGTCTTTTTTATTAAAAATAAAACAATAATTCAATTATTATTCCTTTTTCCGAAAACGGTATTTTATTTAATATAAAACAATAATTCGTTTATTATTCTTTTTCTTGAAAACGGTTCATTTTATTGACAATAAACAAGAGTACCTTTATTTTAGTTTAAGGTTCAAGCTACTTAAATTTAGTTTTTTTAAGTCCTTATCATACGGGGTGTTCAAAATTTAAGCATTAAGGTGTAAAACTTAGTCCGCCCCTGGTAAAGAAAAAAGTAAAACATATTTCAAGGACACTATTTTAAGAGATCCTTATCAGGGTCCATCATATTAAATTTTTATTAAATTATATTCAGTACTTTAAAAGTTATTCAAGGAAAATCAATTTGCAGGGGCGTCCTTTCGGGGCCCATATCTCCGTAAGGAGGGCCAGTAGGAATTTTTTTATAGGAATGTGTCATCTTATTTTTTCATGTTCCATCTGAATCCGAGATATTTCCCACATTTTCCCGGACACCCTGTATAGTATAGTATAGTGCCTTTTGTATTAAAATAAAAAATAATTATAAAATAACTTAGACCATTGGCTGTTTTTTAAATCAAATGTAATAAAATGACAAAATAAATTGTGTTTTGGAAGTGGCTATTTATGCATAAGGTATACAAGCAACTCTCCTTACCCTTTTCCCCACCATGTACTGCGCAAACCATAAGTCAAGGGAAAAAATCGTTTCAAAAATGGCGAATGCGCCGGGATTAATTAATATTTTAATTTCTAAGTTACAAATTAATTAAATTAATTTAAATAATTAATTTAGCTTTAATATAAGGCTCCTCACTACGCTCCCTAGGTAATGCAATGACAAAAAGAGAATGGTGAAATTACGAACCCGGCTCGTAATGTTTACTGTTCACGACTGGAACTGAGGGACATAGCGATTGAGACGGTAAAAATTTTAGTTTAGCCACTGGAAAACTTTAGACCCGACCTTAAGTTTTTTGAAGCATCGGTTACTTATTGTCATTATCTTTCTTTTGTTATCCTGGCACGAGTCGTTAAGAATACGCCGATTATTTTCGCGAATGTTGATATTTAATGATATTTCTCCCTATGACAACGTATATGTATATAATTCCTTTTCTAGCAACAGCTGTTATCTGATAAGGAATTTTCTATTATGTCTATGGAAATAAGTAATTTTTTTCTGTTAAAATAAGCATCACTCGACACATAATAGTTTTTTCCCGCGTGGAATCGTAATTACTCCCTCAATAAATTTCTTCCCTCGCCTGTCGGCTCGTTCGGAAATCGTGGAGCTTGGTAAAAAATATACTAATTTCAAAATTAAACCTACTGTTACTAGCAAGCTAAAAAATCGTAAAAATTGTTGCTTTTATTTTATGAAAACATAGTCATGAAATAAATAATTATACTATTAAATACCACTACATATTTATAAAAAAGGAGCTGAATCATCAAATTATTATTTACACAAAAAACAATCATGTCTTTTTGAGATAAGACTATACTGCACCAAGTAACCTTCTATGTTAGCCGACCTTGTAGCTCTTTAAATAAAAAGTATACTAATAAAAGAACCAGGCTGCACCCTGTATAATAAAAAATATATATTTATTTAATTAAATTGATTTAAACTTAATCTGAAGTCAATTTTCAAATCAGCTTCATAATTTTATCTAAAAGCTGTTCTGCTTTTTTGCTGACCATGTTTTGATCGATAAACAGCTAACGTTTATGTTATTTTGCAGGAAAAAACAGAAGTTTACTTTCTGGGGATATTTTGCGTTGAAGCCTCATTAAAAATTTTAGCCTTAGGTTTTGTTTTACATAGAGGATCATATCTTAGAAACATTTGGAACATTATGGATTTTTTTGTCGTGCTAACAGGGTGAGTACAAGCTGTTTTTCTTTTGTAATATTGATGTAGAAACGATGCCGGATCACATTTTATAATAAATTTGCCAAATAAAATTGTCATTATCAAACGCGTATGTATTCATTATTAGCACGTTTAGTAAGTCCATTTTATAAAATATAAGAGTAAATTTAGGATTTCAAAAGAATTTGAACTTGAGAAAACTAATGGCTCCTTTGACAACGGAAAATGCCGTGATTGCATTTTCGAATCTTTCAAGTTCAATATTTCCAACTACCTTTGGCAAATTAATGTATGCATCCAAAGCGTATTCAAGCGCAAAATGCGACACATTACTCTACTTTTTGAGAGAGTTTTAAAACAGAACGAAAAAAATGTGATGTCGCAACGTAAAAAAATTTCTAATAGATTTCAGGCTATGTAAGTCGAATAACGCAGACGTTGGTCTGGTCTAAGTGTTTGTGTATATGTATCTTGTCAGGTCTATGACAGTTTTTGCCGAAGCGAACGTTGACGTTGATCTGCGGATGTTAAGGTCGTTCCGCGTCTTGCGACCCCTCAAGTTGGTTTCCAGGATCCCAAGTAAGGGCCCCAACAAATCAGATATCCCAAATTGCCACTCTGATATCATTTTATATCTCTACTATTACTAAGCATTACTTATTTAGGAATATTAGTTTCTTACAACCACATAATAAATATTATATAAAATGTACTTAATCAACATTTTTACATATCCAAATATTACAAAACAACCATTACAATACAGTGTTAAACCAATTATGAAGTAGTAGAAAATAACATTAAAAAGTAAGAATACATTTTCACAAAAAGCTATAATACTTTTGATGAAATAAATATAAAAATTCTAAGCTATAATATATACATGCGATTCGCCGAAAATCAAAAAACATGTATGTACTATCGTAGCATAATACTTAAAAAGATTAAATAAATACTACAAAGCTTAATATGTTACGACAAATAGCCTGCCCAAGAAAGACTACAGATATTTTACAATACAGTTACTCACAGACACAGAGTTTGAGAACGAGCATTTTTTTCGCATCCGTAGGTCACTGACCTAGCAAGTTACTTATCCTGTATTTAGTCTTCTTGTCAGGTTAATGCCAATTTTGTCTTATTTTTTAAAAATTATACAATATACAGTTCTTCTTTTTTTATCTGGACTGCGGCAACGTTGCAAATTTAGCGGTTTCGTTGGTAAATACGGAACCAAAATTGATTGCATCGATTAAAACAAACTAAACTAGTTATGGCCACTTGCACCGTAAGTTTAACAGAGGTTTAATTTTTAACACAGGTTTATTTTTCTTATCTGGCTTGCACCGTAAATTAATCCTTGTTTAAATAGCTCTAAACTACTGTTAAAATAAAAACCCAATTTCGGTGGTTTAAATTACTTTCTCTACGACTACTTAAGAATAGTAACATTCTAGTGTAATTTTTGATCATAGAAAGGATGTTTTTCTGCAATACTGTGCGAGAATATTCCTACTCTTGTTTAAGAATGGTCACAAGTAACGACATCTCCTGGCTGATTACTAAACGTAAAAAATTTAAAAATATTTAAATATTACTGTATTATTTATTAATTAAAAAATAATAGCAGTTGTATAATTAAGTTTTAGACACAAAAATTAGTTATATTTATTGTTTTTCAAATAATCAAATCAAAATTATAATAAATTTGATATTAAAATGATAAACCAGTTACCTACTATACCGGCTTTGAAGTTTTGACAGATTCAAAAAGTTTAAAAAAAGACCTTTAAAATGTAGAAAAAGAATAGATGTTGACATAGATTACTTGTAAAATTAGTTTTGTATTTGTTACAATGTTATTTTTTTTATTAGTTAGTGTAAATAACTATTTTTAATTATAATAAAGATTTAGGCATACCATTTGTTTAAATTTATTATAATTTACATTATAAAATTGTGACGGCACAAAATGGTTTGACAATACAAAAAACTTAAATGTCAAAAACTGCTTGGTTTCTTTTCTCTGTTTAAAATTATATAAGCGTTACTATTCTTACGTAGTCGTAGAGAAAATAATGTCTGAAACACGTTTGGAATAGCATATTCCACTCTCGTAAAACCGTCACACTCGCCTTCGGCTCGTGTGTCAAATTTTTTCTCGAGCGGAATATGCTGTATTCCAAACTTGTTACAGAATGTACTATTAATCCACCGTTAACGATTTATAACCTCAAAAGTACTAGTCATCGGTATTCAAGATCTTTTTTTTTTCCAAAGATATTATTTATTAACATCTCTAGCAAATCCAATAAATATAGTTATAGGTATAGCGGTCAGCAACTCTATAATGAGTCACTACTAAGAACCAGAAATATAATAGAAAGAGTATTTGGAATTTGGAAAATAAGGTTTCCAGTGTTGGCATATTGCTTAAAATTAAAATTAGATACAGTTTTGTTCATTATTCCAGCTGCAGCTGTACTACATAATATTGTTAGAGACATGAAAAAACCAGAGCCGCCATTGCCTGATGATATTAATGCCATGAACTGGAGTACCCTGTTGTTACTCATCCACAAGATCGCATTATGTTTCAAAATCAATTAATACAAGATTATTTTGCGAATTTATAAAATTTAATTTCAATAATATATTTGATGTTTTATTTAATTTATACTTATTTAAAATTAAAATAAAATAAATAGTCACTTCTTGTTTATTATTATAATACATATATTAGGTTTTTCTTTTTCTCCCAAAAATTTTTAAATCCGAAAGAGTCATTTCTTTTACATCCTGTTTATTCTTAATTTCCTGCTCTAGATTAAGATTAATTAAATTATTTTTTTCATTTTCTGAAAAATTTGAGGAGCGCCCCCTTTTTTTCAGGATATTCCCTCTTACCATCAACTGAATCGGTCGTACATGAAATAGAATTGAACCACAGATGATAAAGAATTGAACCACAGATTATAAAGAATCGAACTCTTAACGTCAAAATATATTTGCGTCACAAATAAGTGCGAAATCAGTTATTAGCACCAATCTTTTCCATTTTTTAGTCAAATCACTACTTAAATTTTAAACCATAGTAAAAAAATCACGTTGCAAGATTTTGGACACTAATCTCCTGTTACCTTTTAACTTGTCAGTTTATTTAACTGATCAGTTAGAGAAAACGGTGCAAGTGAGCATTAATGATTATAATATTAATAATGAATATACTATTATAACTAGTTTAGTTTAATATATTATGTAATGTAATTGTGGTTATATTTAAATTATTGTAGCGTACATTGGTTGTGTTCCGTAATTTATTCAGTACTGACGAAACAGTGAATTGGAACCCGCCTCAGTAGCAGCAGAAAATTACGTCATTTTGTCATTGTACAATGGCTAGGCATTGCGTAGTACGCAAGGTTATGTTTTGTGATTTACTGACATTTGACAAACTTTACTTTCGACACCAGCAGAAAAATAGGGAAAATAAAATGTTATATACATTTTTCGACGCGGACGACGATAATAGGAAATATAAAATTTCACTGACACAACAACTATACGCCAAATACCGAAAATGACTCTTAAATTTGTCCGCTGAATACAAATATACAACATTTTCTAGGTAGTTAATATTTTGGGTCTTCGTATGCGTACTCCCCGGCGACCTGCCCGCCATCCTCCTTTAATTAACTCGTCTCCTTCGTCACTGCTGCTTGTAGGTACTTTTAAGTATTATTTCAATAATAATTATTGAAATAATTAGTCCTAGCTCTTCGTTATATCACTTTATTTGACAGCTATTTTTTATGTTTAAAAGTTCGGTTAGGTATGTGCTTTACTGGAGCCACAGCACCTCTCTGTCACCAGTTGTTTCAGTAAAATTAATCTGCCGTAAATATATAAAAGGGTAGTATTTACTACTGAGCTCAGTAACTGAAAGTGGATTTCCATTGGTTGTGTTCCGTAATTTACTGTCAGTACTGTCAGCACTGAAACACATTCCGAAATCCACTTTCAGTTACTGAGCTCAGTAGTAAATACTACCCTTTTATATATTTACGGCAGATTAATTTTACTGAAACAACTGGTGACAGAGAGGTACTGTGCTGAACGGTTCTCAAGTTGAGTCAAGTTGAGTTGTCAAAATTCGTAGTTAAAAATGCAATTAATTTGGCTTTGGTGGTGCGTAGATGAGTAAAATCATAAAAAAGCAGTTAAATATAGGTGACTACGACCCAGGAGAGACAAAGTATTCCTAGCGGATAATAATCTTCGCTTTGAAAAGAAATTAAAATTTTATGTGAATACACGTGAATGTTGTTCAATGGTGAATGGTTATTTTGTTAAAGCCACTGGACGTTAATACTTAGTGGCTTAATAATAATTATAATGTATATATTTTTCAGGACTATTAATGCAAATTGAAAGAAGATTATTTCTTATCTTTTTCAAATCAAATGCATGCTATTTTCAAAGACATAAAAATTTACTTCTAGATTTTTCACAAAAAGGTTGAACTTAACAGCAAATAATTTTTATTTTTTGATTTTTTTTTAATATTTGTAAAACCAATAACGTTACTTTTTTTACCCCAAAAATGTACTTTTTCTGGCATTGAGGCATTTGTCATAACTTCATCGAAATGAAGCATTGCCCTTAAAAGTTCTTTTACTTTAGAATCTGATATAATTTTTGGCATAGTTATCTTTTTATATCGATATTATACAATATTGTATAATAATTTTTATATATATATATATATATATATATATATATATATATTTATATACTAGGGTGCTTCAAAAAAAATTTTTTTTCGCTCTTACCCTCTCAAATGTTTTTATTTAATATAAAAAAATCCTCACCAAATATGGGCGTTCCAGCTCAACTCTAAGAGGTCGCTGTTTTTATTTTAGTTTCCCATTGAATTAACATGGGAAAAAATTAATTTATGTTTGTAATTTTATACCTTTGTATCAAAGTAACTTATGGCAATGATCATT